GACTTTTCCCCTTGCGCCACTCTGCTGCTCCCACTTCTGAACTACCTCATCCCTTCTACCTCTGCCTGCTCCCTCCTCTTCCTGTTCAGTCCTCCCTCCTCCCTCCACCGCGCTCATTTATCCTTGCTCCCTTCTCTGCTCCTCCTACGTGGGGCGTTTCACGACAACGACGACGACGACGCCGACGAGAACGATGACCACGACGGCGACAACGAGGGCAACGACGACCACGACGACGACGACGAGGACGATGACCACGACGGCTACCAGCGACGACGACTAGCGACGACGACGATCGACGACGACGACGCCGACCACGACGACGACGGCGAGGACGACAACGAGCGACGACGACGACGACAACCGACGCCGACGAGGAACGACGACGACGAACGAGGACGACGATTACGACGACGAGATGACGAAGGATCGAAGATCGAACCTCGAAGTGCGAAGCTTCGAAATTCAAACTTCGATCTTCGAACTCCGAACTTCCAGCTTCTAACTGCGAACGTCGCTGGGGTGCCAGGGATGGACTGGGATGGAGGGAAAATGGGAAGGAAAAGCGAGGAAGCGGGAGAGGAAGTTGGAGGAGAACGAACAGGCGTGGAGCGACGAGGAACGGGCGGCGAGGAGCCGACGTTGAGGGCGGCGGGATGGGGGGACAGGGAGGAGAGGGGAGACTTCAAAACGAAAATCGCGCCACGGCGCCTGCACGCGCGCCCCCGATCTCGGCGGCCGACGCGCGCGCCCCTGCAGAAATGCAACGCGCCCTTAATTCGAGCCCCGCTGCTGCGGAGCCACCTACTCCACAACCAAATCGTCTGGGGAGCTGTTCGGACCCCAAACTACTAATTAGTTCTTCAGCCACTCGGCTCTTGCGAGTCCGCCCTCATGACAAAGGGCAACCTTCACATGGGGACACTCAATGGGGTGTTGATTGAGAACGCCCCATGTGGCTGGTGGCAGGAACGGACGAGGGGGGGCGGATAGAGGAGCAGGACGAGCACTGGCAGGGGATATGCACCAGGAGAGAGATCTCATGGAGGAAGAGGAGGGGAGGGGACGAGAGCCACTCATAATTAAGCGCACGCAGGCCCACGCACGTGCCCCATTTCTCAGCGACCGCCGCGCCGCCATGAGAACTGTCGTACCACCGCCGCTAATGCGGCGGATGCGTGACCTCTCCCATCCCTGTCCTGCGCTGTTTCTGCTACCGCCCTCCCCCCTTCCAGCCAAGCTCGGGTTTCATGCTCGGAGACGGGCGCGGCTGGCGGCTCTTAGTGCGGGTGCGCGCGCTGCCTCCAACTCCTCATCCCCTCCTCCTCCTCTCCTCATCCCCCCTCCTCTTCCTCCTCGTCCTCCTCTATCGGCCCAGCTCCGATCGCCGCTCAGCTCCCCTGGTGCGGCTGGCGGCAAAAGTACCGAATATTGCCTGGGATGTCCTTCACCTTCTTCTTCGACATCTCAAGCATCATCTTGCCCATCTCCTCGGTGCGGCGCGCCTCCTCCATCATCTGCCGCGCCTGGTCGACGAGCATCTGGCCCTTCACTCCAACGGCGCGTGCATGGCGGCAACGATTGCGCCACTGGAGAAACCGCACAACCATGGTCGCCCAGTGCCAAACACTGCCCTCCGTCGTGATGAGCTCGAAGTCATCGACGTCGTACTTGCCCGCGATGCTCGCCATACCGGCCCCAAAACCGCGAAGGAGCCTCCTCTGGCAGTCCCCGCTGCTGCGGAGACTTCGGCAGAGGCTCCTGCGCGGCTCCAGTCGCGGAGGCGGGCGGGCGCGGCGGGAGGCAGACCTGCAACGGCTGCGGCTTCACTTTATCGCATTTCCATCCCTCCCTGCACTCACATGGCTTTTCCCATTGCGCCAGTCTGCTGCTCCCACTTCTGAACTACCTCATCCCTTCTGCCTCCATCTGTACCCTCCTCTTCCTGTTCAATCCTCCCTCCTCCCTCCACCGTGCTCATTTCTCCTTACTCCCTTCTCTGCTCCTCCTACGTGGGGCGTTTCGCGACAACGACGACGACGATGACCACGACGGCGACAACGAGGGCGACGACGACCACGACGACGACGACGAGGACGATGACCACGACGGCGACCAGCGACGACGACTAGCGACGACGACGACCGACGACGACGACGCCGACCACGACGACGACGGCGACGACGACAACGAGCGACGACGACAACGACAATCGACGCCGACGAGGAACGACGACGACGAACGAGGACGACGATTACGACGACGAGACGACGAAGGTTCGAAGATCGAACCTCGAAGTGCGAAGCTTCGAAATTCAAACTGCAACCTTCGAACTCCGAACTTCAAACTTCGAACTGCGAACTTCGCTGGGGTGCCAGGGATGCAATGGGATGGAGGGAAAAATGGGAAGGAGAGAACGAGGAAGCGGGAGAGGAAATTGGAGGAGAACGAACAGGCGTGGAGCGACGAGGAACGGGCGGCGAGGAGCCGACGTTGAGGGCGGCGGGATGGGGGGACAGGGAGGAGAGGGAAGACTTCTTTACGAAGATCGCGCCACGGCGCCTGCACGAGCGCCCCCGATCTCGGCGGCCGACGCGCGCGCCCCTGCAGAAATGCAACGCGCCCTTCATTCGAGCCCCGCTGCTGCTGCGGAGCCATCTACTCCGAAACCAAATCGTCTGGGGAGTTATTCGGTCCCAAAACTACTGTTTGCCACCCGCTGCTGCGGACGCCGAGGGCCTGGTGCTGGACGCCGCGGCCCCGCTGCTGCGGGGCCCCTGAGAGGGCGTCGGCCTCCCCTTCTCTCTGGCGGCGTCGAACTTGACCTTACGCTCCACACCGAGGTCCTTGTACCAGCGAAAAGTTCCTGACCCGTCGCTCCCGCCCAAACCCGCGGTTGGTGGCCTCACCGTGTCCGCGTGGGGGACGAGGGGCAGAGCTTCGACCTTCCTGTCGCCCCAGTGCGGGTGTAAACGGACGCCTGTCCCGTCGTCGCGGTGCAACACGAAATCCCACATCGGCAGCTTCACTTTCACCCGCTGCCCCGCGAACTGTCGCGCGCGCACAATACTCTGACGCATGTGGTCGTAGCTGTTTGGCCGGACTTCGAGGGAACAGCCGATCAGAGCCCCGCTGCTGCGGGGCCCCTCCACGACCTCCCTGATATCTTCCTCCCTGAGCGTCGCCACCATCTCTTGCCACCGCCAAGGGACTTCCTCGTCGCTTTTGAAACCAAAGCTCGTCCTCGCACCGTGGTCGCAAACAGCGACCATGGTGGGCTTCGCATTGTCAAACCACTTGGCTTCTGACTCGAACGGGGCAGTTGGGTCTTCATTCAGATGGCGCCACCATTTCAACGCTTGATTGTGTTGCTTAAACGAAGTGCCGAGCCTCTCTTCATAACTCAAAAAATAATTAACATCAAACTTCTCAAAATCCTGGGGCCCGCGCGCCGCCGCCGCTGCGGTGGCGCGGGGCTCCTGCGCCGCAGGCGCGGCTCGGGATCCCGACCCCTCTCCTGAAACTGCGTTCCCAAGTTCTGGTACGTTTCGGAGGGCAGCCCTCACGAAATTATCGAATTCGGGCTTGCCGAGACCAGGGGCGCGGGGGCTCACAACGCTAAGCGCGGCGAAGCGAGACGGCCGTTGAGACGAGACCGCCGCCGCTGCTGCGGCGGCAGGGCCATCGCGCCATTTGGCGTCCTCCGTTGGCGTGTGCCCGTCTTGTCGCCAGTCTCTCCAACCCCTCGCTGACCAATCATGGCCGTCCTCCCAGCCACGCCAGCCGCTGCTGCGGCTATCCCACCATCCTCCCGCGCCATCCCATGTGTATCCGCCTGCATCGCCCATTGCAAGACGATGGCGCAAGCGCGCGTTAGGCCGCGACGGGCCCAGCTGCACCGGTGCTCGCGGGCGATCCCACGGGCGCGGGGTGGTTTGAGCATAGCGGCGGCGGACGACGCGACGTGATTGGACGGCGGAGAACTTGAAAGGAAGGGGGGTTGGAAACGAATGAACGAAGTGGACGAAGAGCGGAAATCGAACCAGAGGGAGGCGAAAAAAGAGCGGAAAAGAATAAGGACATGCAGACGAAGGAGAGTGACGAGGTAGATGGCGGGCCAGAACGGCAACGGAGGATAATGTGGTGGAAATTGTGAAAAGGACGCATGGAACAACACGACGAGGATCACAGACGCAAAGATGATGAGCGCAGTGGTAGCATGACATATCCGAAATCAAGAAGCAGGATGAGGAGGAACGGGATGACGAGCAACTCTGTCGCAGAGAGCCTCCGAACGCACCCCCTCTGTCACAGAGGGCCTCCGAACGCACCCCCTCTGTCACAGAGGGGGTCCGAAAAACACCCCCTCTGTCACAGAGGGGGGAAATGATCACTTTAATGCGGCTTCTGGATTAGCGAACACTCATGCCACATTCCTCTGTAAACGCCTCCCCCTCCCCCCAATGTTCAAAGTTGGCGGTGGGTCTGCTGAGTTGCACCTCGACCGCAGTCTCCCCCACGCGTGCCAACTTTGAGTTTGGGGGGCAAGGGGGGTGTTCACTAACTGTTTCCCTCTACCGCAGGTCGACCCCCGGCGGTGCGCCGCGACGCACCGCTGGGGCGTCCAGATTCCGATGCCAGGCCCTACGTGCACGCGTGTACCGCCTCCTGGGAGGCACCGGGAGCGCCGTCTCCACGGGTGGGGGACTGCGAGGCGGGGATTTATCCATATCCACCGCGTGGGAGCCGATGTCCTGGGACCCCGGGGGGCGGTGGATATGGATGCATGGTGGCCCCCGGGGGCCCGAACGTGTATCCGCCGCCTGCCGAGGTCCCCTGAGATTTGATCCCCCAGGCGGTGGGCCTGGATCAATCCCCACCTGGGAGGGACAGCTCTCCTTCGTGACCCCTTGCCCTCATGGTTCATGGTGGATCGCTCGCGCCCCCGACCCCAGCTCGCCATACCGCGATCGCGTCAGCTTCGCGTGCTCGGGATCCACTTTTCACAGACTTTACGCACGGAGCAGCAGCCCTCAGCGCTGCCGCACGGCGGCGCGCGTCCGCAGGCGCCCGTGGCACCGCATTCGACGAGGCCGCAGCGTGCCAGGGCTGCGGCGTGGCGGTCCGGCCCAGCCTGGCCAGGACGCGCACCTAGGGCGGCCAGCCGCTCAGCAGCCGGCCGCGCCGACGATGGCCGCAACGCAGCTGCGCCCGTGAGAGGAGCGGCGGGTGTGTACGGTCGGGAACTTGTGCTTGGCGTGTCGCGGCGGCGGCCCTGGCGACACGCTATGCCATGCGAGCTGATAGCGTGTCGCTCCGCCCCGCGGGGCGGGAGGCTGGGAAGAGCTCGGGACGGCCGCGTTTCGGGACTGGGAAGTGGTCAACGTGTCGCGCCGAAGAGTGGTGGGCCAGAGCCGGCGGAGCGACACGCTGAGCAAGAGCTGCCGAAAAGGGCAGAAACGGGGCGGAAGAAGGGGGATCTCCTCCTCCTCCTCCTCCTCCTCCTCCTCCTCCTCCTCCTCCTCCTCCTCCTCCTCCTCCTCCTCCTCCTCCTCCTCCTCCTCCTCTTGATCTTGTTATTATTAGTTGTGTTCGCATTCTTATGTTTATCCTCCATTTCTTTCCTTAGAAATAACTCCCCCCCCACCCCGAGGCAAGTCGAAAGGGCGGGCCGGGCGTTTCGCCTGAGACCCCCCCACCGCTTATGACCCTGAAACTTACAAGTTGGTAACAGCTTCACAGATTGTTGTGGGCGGGTCGCTTTCGAAATGTGGCTCTCGTAGTGGTGCCGCGCACATTTGCATTAGAAATGTGCAAAGAGTTTCACGCATTGGGGGCGGGCCGTATTTTAAAGTGGCTCTCGCAGTCGCGCCGCGCACATTCGTCTTACAAAATCCAAGAGCTTCATGGAGTGAGGGCGGGCCGTGTTCAAAATGTGGCGCTCGCCTTAGCGCCACGCACATTCATTTTCAAAGTTCGTAAGAGCTTCACGAATTGAGGGCGGCTGGTTTTCAACATGTGCCTCTCGCATTAGAGCCGCGCACATTCGCTTTAAACACTTGCGAAGATTTAACGGATTCCCATGGTCAACGTACCAGAAATGGTGTCTTGGAAAAACTCACGGCTGTGAGGGCGCAACAGCTACGGTGATTCGCGGCGTTTGAAGTCCCAGGAATGGTGTTCTGGCACGATTCAGAATCCTCAAGACGCAACAGTCGGGTGGATCTGTGGCGTCGGAGTCCCGAAAATAATGTTTTGGCACGCCTCAGGGTGTTCAAACGGTTGTTTCCCAACGAGGCAGTTCCCTCAGTGGACATGAGCCCTTGTGTGAGTCTTGGGGTTTACACTGGTCCTCCTCCTCCTCCTCCGCCTCCTCCTCCTCCTCCTCCTCCGCCTCCTCCTCCTCCTCCGCCTCCTCCTCCTCCTCCTCCTCCTCCTCCCTCTCTCCTCCTCCCCCTCCCCTCCCCCTCTCCTCTCCTCCTCCTCCTCCTCCTCCTCCTCCTCCTCCCTCCTCCTCCTCCTCTTCCTCCTCCTCCTCCTCCTCCTCCTCCTCCTCCTCCTCCTCCTTCTCCTCCTCCTCCTCCGCCTCCTCCTGCTCCTCCCCCTCCTCCTCCTCCTCCTCTCTTCCTCCTCCCCTCCCCCTCCCCCTCCCTCCTCCTCCTCCTCCTCCTCCTCCTCCTCCTCCTCCTCTCCTCCTCCTCCCCCTCCTCCTCGGGGGCGAGAACATCGACCTGAAATCGGCGGTGCATCGCCGATGGATCGGCGACAGGCCCCCGATAGCGAACCAGCACGTTCCTAGGCGGGGTGGAGCTATCATGCGGGTCCCATTCGGCGAAGCATGGGCGATCGGAAGTCCACGCATCCCCCCCCGAGTTTTTGCCCCCCCATACTTTGCCCCTAAAGAGATGGGTCGAGGGCTCTGGTCGTGATCAAGCGTACGACGCCGTATGTTTCACAACGCGTCGGGAAGCTGGGCAGCTCAGGGGATAATCCTATTCCTATATTTGTATTATCCGGAAGCCCCCCCCCACCCTTAAAATGGACCCCCCCAAGGACGCCGCGGACGCCTTTTCGGACGTCTCGGCGGCCCCCATGGACGCCCTTAAAAAAAGTCCGTTGGCCCTTCTGGGCCTCCCCGGGCGCCTTGCCAGGCCTTGCGAACAGACGCAAGGCGATCAGAAGGGTCATCGGAAAGGCGCACGAGAGACCCAAGACAGCACAAGAGCGCTCCAAGAGGAACCTCGACGGCCGAAGAGGCCCCCGACACGCCCCAGGAGGGCGCTAAGAGAGCCCCGAAGAAGCAAGAATCGGCCCATCCCCTTAGAAGAAATGTAGATGTTTAGCATATCCGCTTCGGGGGTCTTCGCAGCGTCGAAAACGGCCCGATGGCCCCCCGATATCGCCCCAGGACGGCCCAAGAGGCCCCCCAGAGGTTTTGAAGACGGCCCAAAAGGGCCCCAAGACTGCCCAGGAGAGCTCCGAGACTAGCCACCAAAAAGCCCGAGATTCCCCCAGAAGGCTCCCAAGAGAGACCCACGAAAGCGAAGGGGGACTTCCCAAGAAGGCCACTGGAGGCCCCCAAGAGAGCCCTGGATGGCTTCAGAAGACCTCTGGAAGGCCCCAGCTCCCCAGGACGGCCCAAGAAGGCCCTAGGACGGCCCAAGAGGGCTCCAGGATGGCCCAGAAGAGCCCCAAAAACGCCCAGACGGCGCTTCCCTACGAAGTAGATCGAGCTGACCCGAAAAATCCTGGTTCCACGCTCGAGGCTCGAGGTCAAAATTCCTCGATTGAGAAAGACAAGTCTCCCCCCCTCCTCCCCCCGTCCGCCTCCTCGGCCCCCCTTCATCATTGCTCCCTTCCCGTTCCCCGTTCATGGACAAGAGCCATCGCAACAGTTTGATGCTTCGTCGTTTGACAGCCTTCGCGAGTGAAAAAAACAACAATCCTTCCCCACTCCGGCGCACAACCGTGCAAGCGCATCGGGCGAACGCGGTGTCAGCAGGCACCAGGGATATCGGAAAAATGAGCCGGTCGCCCTTCCAGGCCTCGGGGTCGCCCCTGCTGAAGCAAACGATGATTTATTACTTTGCCGGGGAAGAGACCGAAACAAGGCGCATGGCGCGAAGCGCCAATGAATTCTTATGTATATAGATGTATGTATGTACATACACACACGTACGTACATAAATACATACTATACTTCACAAACAGAACAGCCACCAACACATCCACAAATTAATCCACTTATGCATGCATGCAACAAAACATGCTGACATACATTAGTGCACATACAAGAACATGCGTATACGTACACGTGCATACGTTCATACAAAATACATACATACCATACATACATGCATACATACAGACAGACACACATACATACACACATGTATGCAAAATATACATACATACATACATACATACATACATACATACAGACATGCATGCCTGCATACCTGCACATACATACATACATACAATCGTGCATACATGCATGCATACATTCAAGCGTATATACAGACATATAGCTGCATATATACATACATACATACATTAGTGCATGAACATATGCATATGTACATGCATATATGCATACATATGTGCATGCATGCAAACATACATGCGCTACATAGTTACATGCGCGCATACAGACAGGAATGTGTACCCACATGCACACAAGCAAGCATCCATACATGCATACATGCATGTATGCATATATATATATACATATACATACATATATATACGTATGACAATAAGGATATGTATATGTATACATACATGCACTCATGTATGTATGCAAGCAAATATGGATACACACACATACATACATACAAACATACATACGTACACAAATACAGACAAACATACATACCTACATATATATACATACACGTATATAAACACATCTATATATATATGTATGAACTTACATGCAACTATACATATGTGTATACATACACATATGTATTTACATACATCTACAACCTATATACATATATCTATATATGTATCAAAATGAGGGGGGCCAAGCGGTCATTCACTGTCCCTGGGTGCGTGGCTGAAGTGGGCTTCCACGGTGCGGAGTGTTGCTGTTGGTGGTGGCGTTGTTTGCGGGGCCCCATTATATGCACCGCCACAAGGCGGCCATAGGAAAGGAACAAATCCTGCGCGCGACCGCCCTAACAGGGGTGTTACTGCCTGCCCGCGCCAAGCGCAAGTACTTGCCACGTGGTCATGCGCGCAAGTGGCGGCCGCATTCGGTCGCGAATAATTGCTCCCAAGCACCCTATGGCAGCACGGTGGTGGCGTATAAAAACGATGAACCTCCCAGGAATGTTACACACAACCCCGAAAAATACACCACGTGAATGTGATCTTGTTGCGCATGCAACCGCGTGCCCAAATGACGCTGCACACGCGACATGCCATTACCACGAGATTTGACGCACCCTGCAACCAACCGCCGAAACAATAATCCGATCAACCCCCATGACAGAAAACCAGCCCGCGGTGGTGATGTATATGCGTGGGTCCCGGATTGTTGGCGTTGTTGTTGGCGTTGTTGATTTTGCCGCTATTGTTGTTGGTGGTGGCGTTCAACTATCACTTATGAAGAATAAATATTGTTGGTCCCCCCCGTCCGGTGCACAGTGTTTTTCTTCGATTTAAGTGCCCCTCCCTGGGCTTGCACCCTGGTTTTTTATGAGGGAAACTGTTGAGCGTCAAACTGTGTCGTTGGCCCCTGGTTTACAACAACAACATCAACAACAACAACAACAACAACAACAGCAACAGCAACAGCAACAACAACAACGGCTCCCGCCTGATACTTCCTCACAATTTATTGAAGAATCGCGCTCTCGCTTGGGACTTCCTTGCAATGTACCACCAGATCGCGGCTCCCGCTTGATAATTCCTTACAATTTATTGAAGAATCGCGATCCTCTCGACACGGTTGCAGTTCTCACTATCCTTCCGCCCCGCTCTCCAAACATCCCGCTTCTTTTCAGGGTTCCACGAAATTTGTCTCTGACACCAGTTCGCAGCTGTACGTCCCCCCGTGGGGGTATCCACGATATGTTCTTCCAAGGGGGTGGTACGTGGCGCTGTTGATGGCGCGACCCATGGCGAAACTTATTGTTAACCTGTGTTGGAGTGGCCGGCGCAAGCCAAGGCGCAAGCTGAGACGCCACTCACAGCGCAAATAATCGTCCTCCTTCCTTTTTGCCCCTCCCCTCCCTTCCTCCGATCCCTTGGTCCTCACTATCCCCCGTTATCTGTTACCCTTCGTTTTCAAGGGCTTCACCAACCACACGTGGCAGGGAATGAATATACCCCCCAAAAGGGGGTACGATCGAAGACGAAGAGGGCGGGTATCCAGGGTTTGGGATATGCATATTGAATGACACGCGAGCAAATAAGAGCGAACAATACTAAAATGATTGTTGTTGTTGTTGTTGAGCCCTCACTCTTGAACAATAATGATTGTTGATCCCCCCCCACCGGTGCGCATTGTTTTTTTCAATTGAAGTGCCCCCCCCGGGGCTCGCACTTTGTCTTGTCAAAAAATTCTTCCTGCTCAAACTGGCCCCCTGGCCCCCGGGTTACAACAACAACGGCTCCCGCCTGAGACTTCCTCACAATTTAGCCAGGACCCCCGCTCCCGCCCGAGACTTCCTCGCATTTTATTCAAGAATCGGGCTCTCGCTTGGGACTTCCTTACGATTTATTCAGGAATCGCTCCTCCTGCGCTCTGGAGTCGCGCTCTCGCTGGAGACGCGCTTGCAATGTACTGGAGAATAGCGCCCTTTCGTTGGAACTTCTTGCAATTTACTCCAGCGCCGCGCTCCCGACACCCAGGCACCCAGGAGTCGCGCTCACGCTTAGCACTCCTTCACAGATTACGTAGGAATCGGGATCTCGCTGCCCTTCGTGGCCCCGTTGCAGCCCTTCGTGGCCCCCTCGCTTTGTTTCGTGGCCCCGTTGCAGCCCATCGTGGCCCCCTCGCTTGGTTTCGGGGCCCCGTTGCAGCCCATCGTGGCCTCCTCGTTGCCCCTCGTGACCACGTTGCAGCCCTTCGTGGCCCCCTCGCTTTGTTTCGTGGCCCCGTTGCAGCCCTTTGTGGCCCCCTCGCTTTGTTTCGTGGCCCCGTTGCAGCGCTTCGTGGCCCCGTTGCAGCCCTTCGTGGCCCCCTCGCTGCCCTTCGTGGCCCCGTTGCAGTTTTTCGTGGCCCCCTCGCTTTGTTTCGTGGCCCCATATATGTATGCCCTTCGTGGCCCCCGCTCGTTCGCGCCCGTTGTGGCCCCATGTGCATGCCTTTCGTGGCCCCGCTGTCGCCCTTCGTGGCCCCCTCGCTGCCCTTCGTGTCCCCATTGCTGCCCTCAGTGGCCCCGCCCTTACCCTCCGCGGCCCAACATACGTATGCCCTTCGTGGCCCCCGCTCGTTCGCGCCCGTTGTGGCCCCATGTGCATGCCCTTCGTGACCCCGCTGTCGCCGTTTGTGGCCCCCTCATTGTCCTACGTGGCCCAGGTGCTACCCTCAGTGGCCCCATCGTTGCCTTCTGTGGCCCCGCATTATCTGCCCTTCGTGGCCCACGCTCGTTCGCGATCTTCGTGGCCCCATACGCATTCCCTTCGTGTCCCCGCTGTCGCCCTTCGTGGCCTACTTCGTGTCCTTCGTGGCTCTGCTGTCGTTCTCTCTCGTTCTCGCTTTCGCTGGTCGTCGTCGTCGCCGTCGCCGTCGTTGCCGTCGTCGTCGACGTCGTCGTCGTCGTGGTCGGTCCCATGTCCGTCCCTCTTGGGGTCGGGTCGACGGTCCGCGGCCGCCCCGCCGATCAGCGCTGCCGCTGGCCAGGCCGACGGTCCGCGGCCGCACCGCCGCTTGCCGGGGCCCGGCCTGCAGGGAAGGAAGGTATACCCCCCACAAGGGGTTCGACCGAAGACGAAAAGGGCGGGTATCGAGGGTTTGGGAAATTCGCGTTATTCGACACTCGAGCAGATAAGGGCGAACAGTCTTAAAATGATTGTTGTTGTTGTTGTTGTTCTTGTTGTTGGTGGTGGTGTTGTTGTTGGTGTTGTTGTTGCTGTCGTTTTTTGTTTGTTGTTGGTTGTCGTCGTCCCACCCGCGACCCGGCCCGCGACCCACCCGCGACCCACCCGCGACCCACCCGCGACCTACCCGCTATCACCCGCGACCCACGCGCGACCCACCCGCGACCCACCCGCAACCCACCCGCGACCCACTCCGCGACCCACCCACGACTAGCCCGCGCCTCCCCGGATCCTCCTGGATGCCCGACTCCAGGATCAGTCAGCGTCAAGTCGGGAAATGTGCGCACCTCGCGCGCCCACGCCAATCTGGGCCGGCCTCGCCGGCGGACTCCCGACTCCAAGCGGTCCTTATCTCAGCGTCCTGCCTGCACCTCGGCCACGTCGGGTCGCAGGGGCGCGGTGGCTGCTGCATCCGACGACTGACAGGGCGGGCGCCTGACTGGCCGCGCGAGCATCGGGTCGACATGTGCGTGGGATCGGGCTGCATCGGCACAGCAGGAGCCCGACCACAAGAAACCTTCCACAAGAAACCCAACCCTGAGACCCCAGGACGTCCACAGATTCTTGGTGTGGGAACCTCACGCTGTCCATCGCAAAACCATCGAAATCCGAGAAACCCAGGGCACCCTGGAGGCAAGAAGGGTGTTTCTTGGCATGGGCCTCCGCTGGACGGGGGTCGAAATCGAATCGGATTGGCCGCGCGAGCCTCTGGCCGCATCGGACTGTCGGATCGTCGGAATCCCCTCAGATCGGGCCAGCCGAGGTCGGTGTTGAGCCGGATTGCCCAGAGCGGAGTGGACCCCGGATCCTGGAGGCCAAGACATCCGACGATGTGTGGTTCTCAATGCGCGGCCCCACAGGTCCCGACCCCTGTATTCAAGAGGCCCTGGGACACACAGATAAGCAGACACAAATCCCAGGACTCCCCATAGTTTCCAATATTTTCTGAGCTCTCGTCTTCCCCCCCACTTCCCATATTTTCCCATATTTTCACGGGAGTCGACGATGAATTGTGTCTGTGTGTGTTTTTCCCCTCCTCACCCTTCCATGGGGGCAGTGTTTCGCACCGGATCCGTTTCTGATGGCCCCTCGGCGCTCCGAAGACTGCCCGGGAGCAGAGACCGAAGAGAAGCCGCCAGCCGAAGAGATCCGAAATCGGAGGGCGCGGAGCCAAATCCGAAGGGGGTGGCGGGAAACAAACTCTGCGCCGACTTTCGGGGGGCCCATGCCCTCGGGAGTGTACCTCGGTCGGAGCGGAAGCCTGGGACAACCCCCCTTGGCGCCATGGCCACCCTCTGGCCGCACCTGCGCCTTTTCGGCCAGCCAGCTCCAGCTCAACAGAAGGACGTCACATATCCACCTCGCAGGTCATGGCCAGGCCGAGCCTGCCCAGGGTGAGCCTGGCCTGGATCGGTGCGATGGCTACTTGACGTCCTCCGATCAGGTGGCCTTCGAGCTCAGCGCAGGCGTGCCGGCTTCGGCGGCAAGGGCGCCTGGACTCGAAAGAGAAACGGCCCCGAGCTCAGGGGAGGCGCGCCGGCTTCGGCGGCGGGCGGGGAGCCATGTGGATTCCAAGGAGAAGAAAAAGTCAGAAAGCTCGGGGGGGGGAGCCGCGTGTGCGCACCAGGCCCCCCGCGACGCCCTGCCCTGCCTCCTCCCTCCGCAGGGGGCACTGGCACACCAGCACCACCAGCACCACCACCATGCACGGGCACACGCTGACATGGATGACGGACCCGTGGACCTGGCGCGTGGGCGCCAGATCCACGGCTCGGGACCAAACATGAGTGAAGGGGCCCTGGGACATACAAATAAATACAAACAAATAACAAAAATCCAAATATTTTCCCATATTTTCTGGGTTTTTGTCTTCCCCCCACTTCTCATAGTTTCCCATCTTCTCTGGGGAATCGACGATTAATTGTGTCTGTGTGTTTTTGTTCCCTCCTGAATGAGGCCAGCGCCACCTGATTTGGCGACGCAGCGCGCCGAATCCGCATGGGAACTGGACCCGTCGCTAATCCGCGCGCCTCAATCCACACCTGCTCGTCCTCGACGCGCCTGGCCTGGACCATCCTGGGCCCCCAGACCCCCGACATCATGACTGCTTCATGACGTCAACCCCCAGAGGTCTCGACCCACTCCCACGTACCAGCCTTGCATGTCCTGAATCCTTCTCTGACGGCCCCGAGCCCCAAAGAAGGGCCCCAAGAGGCTGAAAATAGAGAAGCACCGCCCGTCGTGTTTTTTGCGCGACTTGAGGGGGTCGGGGCCCCTCCTCCCCAACGCAGGCAAAAAGGCGCCCATGCAACACCACGCCTGCCTGGCCAAGGCTGAAGTAAAGAAGCACCGCCCGGCCTGTGTTTGTTCGTGCCTTGAGGGGGTCGGGGCCCCCTCGCCCCACGCAGGCAAAGGGCGCCCAGGCTGGGCTACACGCAAGAGTGACCCTGGGTAAGAGCGACCTTTGGTGCGCGGCTTCTGGGGAGCCACGGGGGGGCATTCATGAACACTATAGTGTCCATGACTCCGGGGGGGGCCAAACCCGACCGCGCAAGACGCTGCTGTCGCATCACGTTCGGCGATCGGGGGGGCCCTGTTGGGCCCGCACCAGAGGTCACTCCGGCGGAGGGTCACCCTTACGTTTAGATCGGGCATGACCCCCTACAGGCCGATTTTTGACGAAAAAGTGAAAATACCCCCCCCCCCCCAAAAAAAAAAAAAAAAACGTCCCAAAAAATGATAGCAAACACGTCCCCCGACTATGTTCTGACCATTCTTGAATCTTCCCCCTGCAGAGGGAGGACACGCCCGACTTCCCTTCCACGCGCAGTCGACGGGCACCACCGCGCCTGCCCGGGCCAGGGGCCCCTCCTGGGCCGCGGCCCCCCGGGGCGGTGCGGCGCCCCCGGCGGGGGGCCGCCCAGCGGGGGCCCGGCACGCCCGCCCTGGTCCCCGGGCGGCTCCAGCCGGGCGCAGAGGTGCCGGGCCCTCCCCCCGAGGGGCCGACGACGACGGCGGCGACGGCGACGGCGACGGCGACGGCGACGACGACGACGGCGACGACGACGGCGACGACGACGGCGACGGCGACGTCGACGGCGACGGCGACGACGACGACGGCGACGACGACGGCGACGGCGACGGCGAGGGCGACGGCGACGACGGCGAGGGCGACGAAGACCGACGACGACGAAGACGGCGACGACGACGGCGACGGCGACGACGACGACGACGACGACGACGACGACGACGGCGGCGGAGATCCTCGAGGCTCGAACCTCGACAGGAGCCTTCCTGAGGAGAGCATCGAGCTGGAATCGGCGACCCATCGCCGATAGGTCGGCGATCGGCCCCCGCCCGAGGCCCCAGCGGCCCCGCCGCAGAGGCGGGGGGCAGCGTCGGGTGGGGGCCCGCGGAGCGGGCACATCGAGCTGGCACCGGCGGTGCATCGCCGATGCATCGGCGATAGGCCCCCGACAGCGATAGCGCCGCACGCTCCGGGGAAAGGGTGGGGCTATCGGGCCACGTCTCGGCGATGAGTAGGCGAGCGGGTGTCAACGCATCCTCCTCTGGGGCTGTCCCCCCCCCCCTCGTTGCCCCTGATCCCCCTCCGCTGGGGCGCAGAAGGACATTCTAGTACTAGGCGTCCCCCTTGGAGGCGCACGTCCGAACCGAGCATATAGCATCACTATATGAGGTTGCACCGCGAATTGCCCAGGCGGTTGGCCAGAAAGCGACCACCACCGAGGATATATTTTAGGGTACTAGAGGATCTCTGGGCGCGCGCGTCGCCCCTGGGGGGGGCCGACGCAGTCATGATATAAGAGCATACAGTCGGAGCTCGGCCACAAGAAACCTTCCACAAAAAGCCCAGCCCTGAGGCCCCAGGACGTCCACTGACTGTTGGTGTGGGAACGTCACGCTTTCCGCGGCAAAACCATCGAAACCCAAGAAACCCAGGGCACCCTGGAGGCAAGCAGGGTGTTTCTTGGCATGGGCCCCCGCTGTATGAGCTTGCTTCGGTGATACAGGTCGACTGCCAGCAGGGCGGGGTGCGCACAACCTCTTCCGAGTCCCCCCCCCCCTGGCTCGGGGGTTGCTAAAAAAGTGTCCCTGGCCTAGGGTGCCCCCAGCTTCTCACTCCGTTCTGGAACCCCTGGGGCCCCTCTGGACCTCGTGTGGGGTGCTCTGGAGGCCGTGGGGGCCTTCTTGGAAATTAGCTCCTAGATGGGGTCGGAGTAGATGGGGTCGGAGGATCGCGTCGCATCGGCTAGGCATTGTCGACGTCGGCAGTGCATCGGCGACGTCGGCGTGAAGCAAATCGGGCTCCGCATCGAGCCGCATCGGCGATGCATCGGCGATGCGGCGCGGTCCTCCGACCCCATCTACTCGGGCCCCACCTGGGAGGCCTGGAGAAATCCTGGGGGCACCGTGGGCCAGGGGCACTTCTAGCAACACCCGACTGGCTCGTGACTACCTACCAGACCACCCCAACCCAATTCGAAGATCTCAATTTCGGGAGGGGGGGGGTACGGGTTCCATATGTGCTTTTTCAGTGTTTTTGGACCCCGCCCCACTGGAAATGGAGGGCAGATTGAAGCCTTCGGGTTGGGTTGGGGTGGTTTGGTGGGTGGTGAGGCTCAGGCCGAAGGCCCCGAGCCGGCGACTCGGGCACAGGCAGAGCGGGAACTGCCGGCCGCAACAGCGCGCGGCTGGGGGGGGGGCGCCAGAGGTAGGCGGGGCGGCGTAGGCTTAGATCGGGCCTGTCCCGCTACAGGGGGACGTTGGACGAAAAATATAAAAAATGGTCCAACAAATACCCTTGAAATATTCAAAAATGGTCCAAAAATCGTCCCCAGCGCATTTTTTGCGACTGTTTGTCAATATTCCCCCTGTAGAGGAGCAGGCCCGCCTTCAGCATCGGCAGCAAACAGCCGGAGGCCCGCCCCAAGTTCTCGATCTGCGCGCCGGGCCCCCCGCCTCCCTCTCAAGAGGCCCGGGCGCGCGGGGGGAGGCCCCCGAGGCCTCGCGGAGGGGGGCTCCCCGTGCCTCCGACGCGCGGGCTCCCGAGGTCTGGGCCGCCCCCCCGGGGGCCAGCTCTTCGTCCTGGGTCGTGCCGTGGCGCCCCCGAGGCACGGCGAGGGCCCCCCCCCCCATGAGGCCGAAGACTGCCCAAACGCCGCCGCTCTCCAGCTCTTTTGCTGGAGCGTCGGAGCTCCCGGAGCCCCGGCGCCGACGCGAGAGATCAACGCGGACCTCCGAGGGCTCGATGCTTCATCACTCGGTTCTCGCTCGACCCCTCCCCCCTTTGCCCGCGCCTCCCCGCTCGGGCCCCCGGGGGGCCTCCGCCTCGCCATCCCTCGCGCCGACCCTCGCCGAAGCGAAGCCACGATCGGAACAAAATCTTGGAGGCCTAGAAAGTGGCACCAACACCGGTGTTGGTGGCAATATTTCGGTCACCGTGGAAGCCAGAATATTACCACCATCACCGAGATCGGGAACTTCTTCCTTCGGTGGAGGCACACCGCCGATATTGGTGTTGGTGTCAACCTCTAGGCCTGCGAAAATCGGACCAGGAACAAAATCGGACCCGAACAAAATCGGAACAAAATCGCATCGGGACCAAGATCGGAAACAGAAAATCGGCACTTCTGAGCCGGCGGCTCTGGAGGAGGCGTCGGGCGCCGCGACCCTTCCGGAGCGCTCCAGACCACTCTCAGAGCGTTCTGGAGCGCTCTGCCCTCTGCGCGCGCGCACTCTGCACTGCACGCCCGCGCCGAGCCCTGCCGACCGCTCTGGTGGGGCGGGCCCCCCTCGGCGCCCCCCCCCCGATAGCAAAAGGAAAGCTCGGTGACAACTCGTGGGAGCCTCCCATACCATCTTGTCGGCTCTTGCGAATCGACACGAATCGACGCTGGTCGACGCTAAATCGACGCTCAGTCGACGCTAGCAGACGCTAACCGACGCTGCATCGGCGTTGTCTTATCGGCTCCCAGACGCTGCTCGATGCCGATCGACGCTACCAGGCGCTCAAGACTACAGCGACGACTGCTTCCCAACGCTGAGGCTAGAAGCTAATCGACGCTGCATCAGGCGCTCGGGTACAGTCGAGGTACTATCAGAAGGAACGCTAAATAAGGAACGGAGCCCCTTCTTGGCCCCAGAAGCGCCTAGGTGCACGAGGAGTGATGGAGGAGGAGCCATGGAAGAGCTTCAAGAACAGCGAGCCCCTTCCGCAACCGAGGCGTTCCTTATTTCAGCGTCTTGGCTGTATGCCAGGCTCCCACGACTTGCTAACTGCCGAGGGAAAGGCGGACGTTCGGCACGCGCACGGGCCGGGCTCCACAGCGCTGGAGCTCTGCGGGGGGGAGGCGTCCACCGAGCGCCACGGCGTGCGTCCACCGCCAATTAGGCTGTCGTGCTCCGCCGCCGACGTCGCCTGTCGGCCTCGTGCCCCAAGGCTTGGGTCGTCTCGGAGATCCTCGCCGCCACGGCTGGACGCGGCTTTGAAACCTGGCCGGGGCTCGTCGCTTTCGAGGTCTTTGGACGTCCCTGAGGGCTCACATCGCCACGGCTGGGCGCGGCTCTGCAAGCTTGCCGACGCGGGCCCACTTCGGAGGCGTCCATTCGGGGGGCGTCCAGGAAGGACATCGCGACCCCGACCATGAGATCCACCCGTCCGTCAGCACCCTCCTCTTGGCCGCCCCCGGACTCCACGTCAGCGTCTCGACTGCAGGGTCGTCCGCCCAGGGTGCCCTCTCTCAGAAAGGATGCCCGCGCGCCGCCCTCCCCGCCCTCAGGGGGGAACGCTCGGAGGGGGGGACTGGCTCTGGGAGGGGGGGGGAGGGGCGGGGAGGGGAGGGGGGGGGACATCGAAGCGGAATCGGCGATAATTACATCGCCGATAGATCGGCGATAGGCCCCCGACAGCGATCCCGCACCTTCCTGGGCGGGGTGGGCCATCGGGCCCCCATCGGCGATCACTGGGCGATTGGGGGTCGACCAGGAGGAGCCCTAGATATGGAACGAAGGGGCCTTGCGCGGCCACAGCGGACGCCGAGCATAAGCAGGCTCCGCGACGCTGGCCACGGAAACGGCTCAAAAGTGGAAGCCCATGCCCAGGCCAAGGTGCACCTTACGGTCGGGAGCTTCTGCTCAGCGCGTCGCGGCGGCGGCTCCGGCGACACGCTGCGCCTTCCAGGGTGATGGCATGTCGCTCCGCTCCGCGGGGCGGGAGTCCAGGAAAGGCTTGGGACGCCGACGCACGGGAATTGGGAAGTCGTCAGCGTGTCGCGCGGTAGCGCGGTGGGCCAGAACCAGCGGAGCGACACGCGAAGCCAAAGCTGCTGGCCTAGCTTCAGCGTGTCGACTGCGTGGCGCACCGGAAGACCTCGGGGCCCCAGGGCGAGGCGCTGAGAGGAGGCCTCGGCGGCGGAGGCGGCGGTGGCAGTGGCGCACGCTCTCCCCCCCTCTCAAGGGCCGTGCGAATTGGCGCAGGCGAGGGCCACCGGGATAAAAACAAAAACAAAAAAAAGGGGTGGGTCGGGGGCGAAGATCGGGGCGAATTTGCCCAAGGGCGGGCATTACACGCACTCGCTCGGGAGCCTCGCCGAAGGCATGGACCATCGACGCCCCTGGATACACGTATTGCTCTCCCTGGGCTATTCGCCCCCATCGTCGCCCCTGAGTGGATGCGAGGCGGGGGGGAAGGGCCAGCGGGGGTGAGACGCCCACGCGAGGGGGGCCGGCTCCCGGCAGCGACGAGAGGGAGGAGAGGTGGAAGTGGGAGGGGAGGGGCCGACGGCGAGATGGAGGCGGGAGAGGAGAGGGAAGAGGTGAGGAAGGGAGTGGGAGGCAGGGGCCGAAGAGCTCGACGTACTGAAAGTGGCGTAATTTTTGCGAGCTGTTCACAGAGAGTGCTTTGTAGCCCCGGGGCAGAGCAGCAGGAGTGGAGGAGGGGACCAGTTAACTTGCACGCGCACGTTTTTACGATGCGCGGCCGTCGCTCCTCGAAGGAGCTTCTCTTGAAAGAGCCCAGGGATTTGCTGGGCAGATGTATGTTTCATAGCAGGTGGCGGCGCGATCAAACTCACCACCCCATCTGATGCACTGGCGGGCGGGTCAGGGTGGGCAGCCGTGCTCGAGAGGCCAAAACTGCGTGCCAACATCGTTCCTGCACCTCCTGCGGCGCATTCCGGCCCAGGCGGCTTCGATGCTGTCGGCCCTCAGCTATAGAGGTTCTGGCGGTGCCCGGGCCGGGAGACCAGCGCAGCACGCGGGCTTTTGGCACACCGGGGCACGCTCGAGAGAGAGCCGCCCAGCGTCCTCGGGGGCCCGGATCTCGGACAGTGCGCGGAAGCCGACGTGCGCCTCGCGGCCGGGACCTGTGTGGCGCAGGGCGGGCGGAGGGGATGCTTTTACGTTCAGGCTGGCCACCACCTCGGCATCGAGCGCCTCGAGCCGCGCCCTGGAGATGGTCGACTGCCGCTCCTGGAGCGTTCGGCCAACATCGTGGCGATCTCCCGGTGATCAGTCATAAAGAGGCCCAGGGACACACAAATAAATACACACAAATAACAGGATTCCCCATATGTTCCCATGTTTTCTGGGTTTTCGTCTTCCCCCCCACCTCCCATATTTTCCCATATTGTCTGGGAAATCGACGATTAATTGTGTCTGTGTGTTTCTTCCCCTCCTGAAGTCAAAACTCCCTGGCCGATACCTGTCTTGGTGGGCTCGCCGCGGGTGCTCACGTCGAAACGCAAGGCGACCCTGAAGGGCTCACGAACGACGGCGACGCCCTCTGCCCTGAGTTGGAAGATGCCTTGCTGATGGCAGCACGAATCAAAGCATCGCCAACATAATATCGGCCGCTTCGCGGCCCTCATCGACGGATGCCTCGAGTCGCGTAGTCACGAATCATGGCCATCATCACAGCGCCGCTCCAACACCAGCCGGCACGACCTTTCGCCAGGCTGCGAGTGCCTGGGCAGCGCGCGGCAGGTGGCCTGTGAGCCGGGGCCAAGCATGGACAACGCCAGAAAGAAGGTTCGCTCCTGCAGCGATGCCCTCGCCGTCAATGTAGAGCTGCTGCTCCACCATGCGGTCTGCCAACGCAATGTCCATGAGGACGGGGTCAGGCTGGCCCAGTGGGATCCTGCGCGACTCCGCCAAAGAAAAGACGGGTCCAACACGAGGGAGGTAAGCGCCCCAGTTCGTCTCGTCAAGCACGGCTTGGACCAGCAAGCGGTTGGGCAGGCCTTCAAGACCCCCTGGCATCTCGGGGTGGCTGCTGACCGACCCCCACGCCCTGGCACCGCGACGCACGTGGCGAGGTGGTGCGGGTGCCGAAGAACGACGACCACAAGACTGCTCGGCTGCAGGCCCGGCCGAAACCGACCGAGGGCCTTCACCTGGGTAACTCAAGGTCGAGTCGAAAACCACGCCAGACCATCCCGCTGCTCTCTGACATTCGTAAGCCTGTCCTTCGGCACCGCGATGGCGGATGGGTCGGCAAGCCCGCGCAGCTGATAGGCTGGCACACCCAAAATCACGGATAGGCTGGCACATCCAAAAATACGTGCCTGGACCGACATGGATTTGGGCACCAGAAATGCGCACGGAAAGAATTGGCACGATGCACAACAACAAATGTTGCCCCAAACCGACAGCAGCCGCTGTTGGGCAGGTGGCCTTCTGTCTCAAATGAACAACGTCCGCGGCGGCGCGGACAGCGAGTCCTGTTCAAAATGAACAGGCACCGCTGCTGGGCATCGCACCCATTCTTTCCCTAACCATGTCGTTCGTGCGGCACGGAGGTTCGGAAGAGCGAGTGGATGGACGCGGCCTCGCTGTCCAGGCTGCGTTGCCGATAGCGCAGAGGCTCAAGCGAAGATGCGAAGTCTCCACCGCTATCCGCCCGAAACATCGGTGACCGGCTTAAGCGGGGCGGCGGGCACCCCGAAGAGCGGGAGCCGCGGGTGTCCAGAGATCTTCGGCGCGACGCCGATGCGCCAGCCGCGCGAAGGGCCATCGGCCAAGTTTTCTGCCGGTGGGGACGCATCGCAACACCACCGAAATGACGAGGCCCAAATGCAGAGAAGAGAGTTTCCAGCATTGCCTCACGAGGCCCCATGACGAAGAACGACCCTTCGAGGGCACGCCGACAGTGACCTGGCTGTTCCAGATCACGAACACCCGCCTGTCCCACGAAGCAAGACGGCGGGCCTGGCAGCGCACGGCCAGCATGGCAGCCCAAGCCTCCGTTATGTAGTTGCGCTCCTGGTACTTCCACTCCAGCCTCACAACGACGGACCATCGGGGCTTGGCATCCCAACAGCGGCTGGCAGGGGGAACCTGTCTCTTGGCACCGTCGTCGAGTCGTTGTTCCTCGCGCTCGAACGCGGCGCGAACAGCGTCGCTGAAGGAGACGCGCCACTCCTTGATGTCCCCGCCTGGTCTTGGAGCGCCCTGGACGGCATCCAGCAGCAACTCGGAGATGGCGCGGAACGTGGAAGGAGTGGATTCCTGATCCTGCTCCTCCTGCGTCTTGGAGGGGCCAGCGGGCCTACTGCTCTCGAGGGCCCCGTGCTGGTGCGTCGCGGAGGGGCCGGGACAGCGACCATCCATCCTGCGCGACGTTGGTCGACAACGTAATTAGTCGGCATGCAGCTGAAAGAACCGAGGGGGCACCGATGCAGACTGCCTCTCCGCTTGCGGCACGAAGCTTCGGAGGCGGCAGCCAAAGGGGTTGCCCAGCTGGACGGGCGCGGAGATCTGGGGCCCTCCGGGTGCTGGATCAAGTTGAAGCCCCCCGCGATACGGATGACCTCGCCGCGCCCAACACGAAGCGCAACAGATCCGATGGCAAGCAAACCCCCCAGAGCCCAGCCAGGAACGAGCCGGAAGTGGCCCCCCGGGCCGTGGCTGAGCTCTGGTCCGCATGCCGCGCCGCGGCCCTGCCCGCACCGCGTCTCCCCCCGCCGGGATGCGCAGAAGCAGCGGTTCGCGCCGACCCGAATCTCTGATGCCGCCCTCCTGCCCGCAGCGGAGATCCACCACCACGGCCAGTCCTGCCGGCCGCTCCTCGGGCGAAGGCTGCTTCCTCCAGGGCGCCTTGGAGATCGGCCTCGCAGCGGGCGCCGTTGAAGAGCGCGAACAATACTTCGCACGGGGGGGCGCGGCAAGGAGGCCGAGGCGCCAGACGACGCAGCCTCGGCGCGACTCTCGCGCCCGCACTCGCAGCCGCCGGCGCCGTCGGCGCCGTCGGCCGAAGCGGTCCAGCCGGCGCAGCCGGCCGCCGCACCGAGCCCAGCGCGCCTCCGTCGTCATTTTTCGTCGAGGTCGGCCTCCGCGGACAGAGCCGCGCCGCCGCTGGGGGGCGCATCCACCGCGCAGACCGTCGTGCCCCCCGGTCTGTCCAGGGCGGCCTCCGGGAGAATCAACGCGCCAGCCACGGCGCCCAGGTCGTTGCGGACGGACGGCCAGACGGCAGAGAAAACCGGCATGGCAAAGCGGGCAGGAAGCACCATCCAAGCAGCAGGCGAACTCACCGATTCGACCTCGCCCACGGCCGCGAAGTCCCGCCGCGCGAGGAGCAGCAACGCCCCGACAGGGAGCCACATCGCCCGATCCAAACCCTGAACAACAATGCCAGGGGGGCCCCCCTCGGTAGTTGGAGGGGCCCACGCGCGCATGCCCAGGGCATCGATGCGAACGCCGCGCTGCCCCTCGTGCGCAACGAGCCCCAAGGCTCGAGGAGCCTCTGCGGCGCGGTCCGCCCCGCCCCGCGCGGGGCGCGCACAATCGGGCGGGCGCGCGCCAAGGGTGCCGAAATCGTCGACGTGGCCCCACGCGCCGCAGGGATTGAAGGGGCCCAGGGACGCACAAATCAATAAACACAAGCCCCAGGATGCCCATGTTTCCCCACATTTTGTTGGATAACTTATCCGCCCTCCACTCCACTTCCTGTCTTTTTCTATGTGTTCCTGGGAATCGGCGATTCTTTGTGCATGCGCGTTTCTTCTCCTCCTCCTGAGGGATGAGACTCGCTCATGCCTGGACCTGGACACGACGGACACGGCGGCGTTCGCGGGAGAAGGCGCCGCCCACGGTGTCCAACGCGTCTGCGAAGGCCGTCTGGACCCTGATCCGCAGCCAACTCTTCCACCTGGTTGCTGAGCGTGGCCTGGAGCGGGGCAGAGGAATCCAAGCTTTCCGCCAAGCGTGCAAGATCCAACCCGGCGGCGCCAACCACCCCAGAAACTTTAGGCTCGGGATGCGTCCTGTCCAAGGAAGCAGAAGCAGATGAAGTTGCAGATGACAGCTCCGAGTGTATCGATCCCCACCCTAGTTGCAGCTCGTGGTCGATGGCGCCCCAGTACAGGACTGTGATGACGATGCACACCCAAGCGACCATGATCACGAAGGCACCCTCCAAGACGGCGAACTCGGACCCGAATCACTCGTTGAACTCGAGGTGCTCTTGCATGGTCGCGTAGATCGCAATGGCCTCGGAGAAGACGTTGTACACAGCGTGTGCGAACGTCGTCGCTTGACTGGCCATCGAAGACGTGAACTTGGTCAGGTCGCACCAGGACGCCACCTTGCACGTCACGACCAAGACTCCGAGGAAGAACCGTGGCCGTTGCCATGCACGCGAAAGCCAGCATGCAGCACTCGCCATCGATCGAACGTGAATTCCCCGTGCATTGTTCAATTTCGTACGTGTACTTTTCGCAAGATGATCGAAAATGTTCCTCGATGGTCCTCCACGGGGAAAAAATGAAAACAACAACAACAACAACAACAACAACAACAACAACAACAACAACAACAACAACAACAACAACAACAACAACAACAACAACAACAACAACAACAACAAAAAAAACGTCCGAGCGATGCCAAGACCAGTGACGGCCAAAGCAAGCATGAAGGAAGCAATCCACAAAGCCGGCTTCCGCCGAGCGGCAGCGCCCTCCCGGTTCCACCCGAGAACCGCAGGGCCCGTGACGCCCTCGGCCTTGAGGGGCCGCGGAGCGCTGCTCTGCCCGCCGATGTATATATATATATATATATATATATATATAGATATATAAGACTGCAGTGGCGCTTCGCGCCATGCACCTTGGTCCTGGAAGTGTGGTACGCAAGCGAAATTGCAGGAAGGTCAAGCCGACAATTTAGCGATAACTCCTTGTTGCCTTTTCCGGCATCCCCGCTATAATAATGTGATTCGTTATCCTTCCTCCATGCTTCTTTTCCTCATTTTCGCCGTACCCTGCGCATTCTCCCCATCCTCCTCAGCTCTTTATTGCGGAGGCTCCTCCTTGGAGAGCCTCTCGGGGCCTCACAAAAGTTGTTTCAGGCTTTCGCAATGCTTTCAGGAGACCTCCTGGGTGTATTCTGGGGGCCTCTTGGGGCTTCCTCGGGCCACCCTGCCTCCAACCGCGGTCTCCCTGAACGACCGGGTCACGATTTGGAATGCTTCGGAGGGCGTCTAGGGGCCATCTTGGGCCGCCATGGGGCTCCCTGAGGGCCATCTTGGACCCGTGTTGTGCCGTTTTGGGGCTCTCTCGGACTGCCTGGAAGCCCTTTCGGATGTTTGTGGGGCGATTTTGGAGCCTCCCAGGCGGCTTCGGACGCCCAGAAGACCGCCGTCTTGGAGCGTCGGGAAGCCGAAAAGAGGAGAACCCCAAAATTCACTCTTCCTATATTTTTATAAGCCCGGGCGGGGGGAAAACCCGTCCCCCCCCCCCCCCCTAAAACCGGACCCCCGGAATCTGCAGCTTTGGGACCCTCCGGACGGGCCTCGAAGCGGCCCCCTGGGCCTCGCAGGGCGTTTTGCCAAGCCTTCGCAGCACACCCAGGGCGATCAGGGTCACCGGAGACGTCCCAGAGACCCCCAAGACAGCACAAGAGCGCTCCAAGAAGCCGTCATACCCCGAAAGATCGCTCCAAAACGTACCAAGAGGCCTCCAAGAGCACCCCCAAGAAGGCCCCAAGAGGGAAAACTCATTGATTCTATGTAGGTTTTTGGTGCATTTGGGGTTCTCCTCTTTTCGGCTTCCCGACGCTCCAAGACGGCGGTCTCCTAGGCGTCCGAAGCCGCCTGGGAGGCTCTAAAATCGCCCCACAACCATCCGAAAGGGCTTCCAGGCAGTCCAAGAGAGCCCCAAAACGGCACAACAGGGGTCCAAACTGGCCCTAAGAGAGCACCATAGCGGCCTAAGATGGCCCCAAGACACCCTCCGAAGCATTCCAAATCATGACTGGGGCGTTCAGGGAGACCGCGGTTAGAGGCAGGTTGGCCTCAGAAGCCCCAGAGGCCCCCAGAACACGCCCAGGAGGCCTCCAGAAGGCCTTAAGAAAGCCTGAGAACTTTAGTGAGGCCCCCAGAGGCTCTCCAAGGAGGAGCCTTCGCAAAAAGAGCTGAGGAGGATGGGGAGAATGCTCAGGGCATGGCGAGAATGAGGAAAAATAAGCATGGAGGAAGGACAACGAACAACATTATTACCACGGCGATTCCAGAAAAGGCAGCAAGGAGTTCTCGCTACATTGTCGGCTTGACCCTCCTGCCATTTCCGCCTGCATGCCAAACTTCAAGGACCAAGGTGCATGGCGCGAAGCGCCACTGCAGTCTTGTGTATATATATATATATATATAAATATAAATATATATATATATATATATATATATAGATATATATATCAGCGGCGGAGGGTGTGGGCCACGTGCGATACGCCACCCAAGCCTGCTTCGAGGTCGCGCAGCCATGCTTAATGGTAATCTTGACGGTAGTGACGGTCTGGTTCTGGCGTGCACAAGTCCAAACGCCTGCGATGCCCGCCCCCTCGATGAGGAAGACCTCCTCCTCCTCCTCCTCCTCCTCCTCCTCCCCCTCCTCCTCCCCCTCCTCCTCCTCGTGAGCGGGCCCCAGGCAAAGATACCGCTTCTCCCATTTCTTGGGCACGAGGTGCACCCCGAAGCCGCGGTGGACATCCCCACTGCAGCAGAACACCTCCTGCGGGCCAGCAGGACAGTGGTCGAGCCAGTAGGCCAACTGGGGCACGCAATCCCGAAGATCGGGATGAAGTTGAGCACCCCCACGCAGTAGAGGAGCGAGATGAAGGACAAGGGTCAAGCCTGGAAGCAAGCCGAGGCCCGGAAGGTGGATCGTCCTCGCGGAGACGGGGGGGGCCACGGCAGCGACCCAGCTGAGCAACTTTAACCGGAACACCTGCGCCCAAAATCCTAAGGCGGAGTGCTTCGCTCTCTGGCGGCCATCCCCTCCTACCTCTTGTTGCTGCATGCTCGACTCTTCACAAAAGCCTTCGCACGAAAACGCAATCATCAGGCAGAGATTGCGGTGGACAGCTTGCGATTCGCAGCGCACTGTCTCGAATCGTGAGCAGGTGGGAGCTGGAGAATTTCGGCATGCTGCACGGAGGGAACGAGGAAGGGACCAGACTCTGGAGACGCGGAGCCAGGTCTCTGGGGGGCACTGGAGAAAATTGAGGATGCTGGGGCCCGTGCGCCCAGAATCTGGATCCAGGTGAGGGCGTGGAGAGGAGAGAGGGAGGAGGAGGGAGGGAGGAGGGAGGGAAAAGAGGGCAAGGAGGGCAAGGAGCTCAGCGGGTCAGACGGTTCGCGAAACCCCACGGATTCGCGCCGTGGGCCGGCTGGCCGCCTCGGGCCGTCAGGAGGGAAAGGAGGGAAAGGAGGGAAAGGAGACCCAGGCCTCCGACACGACACCGTGTGCTCCGGTCGCCAGGGCCCCCTGGAGCTCTGGACCTCGTCCCCCCTCGGGTGGCATCCCCGCTCGCTTTCGCTGCCGACGGCCCCCTGGCCCAGGAAGGAGGCCTCTGGAGGCCGAACTTGGGGACAGACCGGCCGCCGCGATTGCTTCTCGTGGCGCCTGGAGATCTCGGGAGGCAGGGAGGATGGGCACGCGGCGGCACTTGCAGAATGCCCAAGCGCAAAGTTTGTCCGGATCCGACGGCGGCCGCCGTTGGGCAGGCGCCTTCGCAACCCAAGTCGACCACGTCCTCAGCGACACCGACAGCGAGTCCTGCTCGAAGCGGACAGGAACTGAGGTCGGTATTCGTCCCCAGTCTTGCCGCACCTTCGGTGGCAACTCATGGGAGCCTCCCATACCACCCTGTCGGCTCTTGCGAATCGACGCGAATCGACGCTACATCGAAGCTAGTCGACGCTACAGCAACGCTAATCGACGCTAGCCGACGCTAAGTCGGCACTACCTCCTCGGCTCCAGATGCTGATCGACGCTGACCGACGCTCAAGACGGATTTGACGGGGTACGCCAGGCTCCCATGGCTTGCGACCGAACCGTACCCGTGCCCCATGCCGACCCGGCCCCGAGACGGGGGAGGCAAGGCAGGGGTGAGTTGGAAGACAGCCGGCGGGGCTCCCCAGCTGCAAGGCCGCGCCGCGGGGGGACGCTCCGGACGGCGCACGCGAGATCCCGACCGCTCCTCCGCACCCTTCCCCACTGACCATGATCAGCACCATCACCAGCAGCAGCAGTCATCCTCACCACCATCCTCATCCTCATCCTCATCCTCATCCTCATCATCATCATCATCATCATCATCATCATCATCACCACCACCACCACCACCACCACCATCCTCATCAGCATCACCACCATCCTCATCAGCATCATCATAATCGTCCTCCGCCCACTCCCCTCACCGTCCTCGCCACCACCACCACACTCATCACCTGCACGCACCGCCGCCGCGGCCGGGCCCGAGGGAGCGTCGGGCCTCTGCTCCCCCACCCTGGCGCGCGGCGCGCCAGTGCTCGAGAGCCGGCGCCCAGCTCCTCGGTCCTCGAAGGTCGAGCCTCGAAGGTCGAGCCTCGAGGATCGAGCCAGCTGCTCATTATCATAGCCAAGTTGCAGCCTTCCCCACACACACACACACACACACACACACACACACACACACACACACACACACACACAACACACACACACACAGTCACACACACACACACCTGCCTACCCGACCCCCTCCCCCCACCATCCCCTCCAGCACCCCCGTCTCAGGAGCAGCAGAAACAGAGGCAGGAGCAAGAGGAGAGCACAGCTACGGGTCAGGATTTCGCTTGAGCCCTCCGAGCTCCGATGTTCGAAAGTCCGCGCTGGCCTCCATCAGATCTTCATGTCGGCAAGGATCGTGGAACACAAATCCTTGGCATGTCCGCGCGCCAGTAGCAGGGATTACCGAGGAGACCGGATACAGTCGCACTTCTCACCAAGTTCAACGCAACCGATGCCTTGGAGTCGCATGACCCCGTCGGGGCAATCCGCCTGGATTCGGATGGCTTCGATCTTATAATCCTATCCACCCGTATTCCGATGGCCTTGGTCAGAGTCGGAGTCTGGATGGCTGATGCAGGCATCTGGAAGAATCTAGAGCAACGCGGACCTGCTAAATGACCTTCCCCGCTGAAATACTGAACAGCTTCGCGGCGCCGTCCACTGACCGAGGGCCGGGGGCTTCTGGACGGGGGCACTGGGAGCCGTGCAGCGGATGTCCACGCGTAGGCCGTCGGAGACGCCTTCCGAGGTGAGGGCGACAGACCGACGCCCCTCTGTGGGACAAAGCACCGCTGGCCAGGCCCGCGGGAGCAACCCGAGAAATGGACAAAGGGCTGGGCGGCCTGAAGCACACGGAGTGCGCAAGTGCACAGACGGATATATGCGCACTGCACGGGGATACGCACGCATATGCTCGTGCGAACGAGCTCGAATGAACACTCGCCTGCGTGTGTTTCGTTCGCCTGCGTTTGCTTCGTTCGACTGGCCAGACGGATCTTGTTTGGACACGTAGAATATTTAGCCACGCAGTTGTATGCACACGGGGATGCACTATGCACACCTGGGTACTTTTTTAATGTGTGTACACATTCACACATACACGTATGCATATATGTATACAGATGCACATAATTATATAAGCAATAAACATACATATGCATGCGCAAATACATGTTCATGGACATGTGTAAGGACAACTGCATAAACACATACATACATCTATACATATACATACGCATGTGTATATACACAAAGCATGTACATACCAATATACATACATACACACACATGTCTGTATGTATAGACATATGCATACACATGCATACGCACATAACTGTACATCAACATATGCATGTGCTGCCACATACACATATACACGTGCCCATGCCAGTATGCATCTACATATACATATGCATCGTTTGTATGCACGTCCTTCTATAAATGCACATACGTATACACACAAACGAATGAGTATACGATTGCATATACATAAACATACATGTATATGTATATATACGGATGCATAGACAGATGCTTCTGCATGCACCTGTACATGCACATATGCAGTTACATAAACACATGCATAGGCACATACCAATACATGTACACAGGAACATATACACATAAACAGGCACATACACATACACAGGCACAGGCCTACACAATTACGCATACATTTAAACATTCACTTAAACATGCAGGAGCACATGCATATACAAATACCTAGACATATACCATGCATGTGCGCTTACATATGCATATACACAAACACAAACGTATACGTTTACAAACGTAAATATACATATGCATGCACATGTACATATGCGTATATACATGCATATGAATATACATACACATATACATACATATATATATATATGCCTATATATATATATATATACACACACATACCTTGTATATGCATGCATACATACATGCTCAAATATGAACAAATAGCCAAATACACATACACATGCGCTTACATATACATATACGCATAACTATAATGTAACACATGTACAAACATATACACATATGAATTTACACATACATGTATACACATACGGATGCATTCACATAAACATATACATGAACATAAACATACAAATATACATATACATATACAAATACAGAACATCAAAGACCGATGTGTATCCATATATGTATATATATAGATGTATAAGCATACAAGGGCCTGGCTCGGGGGGGTCCCCGTTCGAGCCAGCGCCAAAGATGCGAATTGAAGACTCTATTCGCCCAAGGAGCTGTTGTGACGCTTCTATTCCGCTGACGCCTGGTGAAGCTCGTGACGCCTCTATTCGGCTTGAAGCCTCCATTGAAGCTCGTGACGCCTCTTTTCGGCCTGAAGCTTCTATTCCGCCTGAAGCCTGCACTCGGCCCGTGACGCCTCTATTCGGCCTACGAATTGCGACGCACTGGTGGGGTGGCGACCCTAGACACATCTATTCGGCCTGAAGCCTCTGTTCCCCTGACGCCCATTGAACCTCGTGAAGCCTCTTTTCGGCCTGAAGCCTCTGTTCCCCTGACGCCCGTTGAAGCTCGTGAGGGCTCTATTCGGCCTGAAGCTTCTATTCCCCTGACGCCCATTGAAGCTCGTGAAGCCTCTATTCAGCCTGAAGCCTCTATTCCCCTGACGCCCGGCGAAGCTCGTGAAGCCTCTATTCGGCCTGAAGCCTCTCTTCCCCTGACGCCCAGTGACGCTCGTGACGCCTCTATTCGGCCAGAAGCCTCTATTCCCCTGACGCCTGGTGAAGCTCGCGAAACCTCTATATTCGGCCTGAAGCCTCTATTCCTCTGACGCCCCGTGAAGCTTGTGAGGGCTCTATTCGGCCTGAAGCTTCTATTCCCCTGACGCCCATTGAAGCTCGTGAAGCCTCTATTCAGCCTGAAGCCTCTATTCCCCTGACGCCCGGCGAAGCTCGTGAAGCCTCTATTCGGCCTGAAGCCTCTCTTCCCCTGACGCCCAGTGACGCTCGTGACGCCTCTATTCGGCCAGAAGCCTCTATTCCCCTGACGCCTGGTGAAGCTCGCGAAACCTCTATATTCGGCCTGAAGCCTCTATTCCTCTGACGCCCCGTGAAGCTTGTGAAGCCTCTATTCGGCCTGAAGCCTCTATTCCCCTGACGTCCGGCGAAGCTCGTGAGGCCTCTATTCGGCCTGAAGGCTCTATTCCCCTGACGCCTGGTGAAGCTCGTGACGCCTCTATTCGGCTGGACGTTTCTATTTCGCCTCGGCCTCATCCTTCGGGGTGCACAGCTAGGCTGGCTGCGTCGGGCGCGCGGGCGCAGGCGCGAGCGCGGCGTCGTCGTCGTCGCCCCCGCCGCCGCCGGCCGCCGCCGGCCGATGGGGCTGGGTTGCGGGCCCAAGGCCTCCTGGATGTTCGCTTGGGGGTCTCTTGGGAAGTTTCTCGTCGGGCTCTTGGAAACCTTTTCGAAGCCTCATCGGGGGCCGTTTTGGGGCCTCTTAGGATTATTGTTTTAATCCACATGGGGAGGGGTCTTGTCTAGCAGAAGGTGCCGCACAGCAGGTGGGGCACGCCTAGCACCAATGATTATTTGCGTAATCAACTTGGGGAGGGCTCTTGCCGATCAAAGGGTGCCGCACAGCAAATGGGCATGTCTACCACCAAGGATTATGTTCTTTTGTTTTATCAATTTGGCGAGGAGTCTTGCCTAGCAAAGGGTGCCGCACAGCAAAAGCACATGTCTAGCACCAGGGATACTGCTTTACTTAACTTTGGGAGGGGTCTTGCCTAGCAGAAGATACCGCACAGCAAAGGGGCTCACCTTCGAGAGGGTGCCGCACAGCAAAAGGGCACATCTAGCACCAAGGATTCTTGTTCAATCAACTTGGGGAGGGGTCTTGCCCAGCATAAGGTGCCGCACAACACATGGGGCACGTCTAGCACCAAGAATTATTGTTTTAATCAACTTGGGGAGGGCTCCTGTCTAGCAGAAAGTGCCACGCAGCGAAGGGGCACATCTAGCACCAAGGATAATGTTGTTTGTATCAACTTGGCGAGGGGTTTTGCCTAGCAAAGGGTGCCGCACAGCAAAAAAAGCATGTCTACCACCAAAGATTCTGTTTCAATTAAATTGGGGTGGGGTCTTGCCTAGCAGAAGGTGCCGCACAGCAAAGCGGCTTACCTTGGAGAGGGTGCCGCGCAGCAAAGGGGCACATCTAGCACCAAGGGTTCTTTTGTACAACTTGGGGAGGGGTATTGCCTAGCAGAAGGTGCCGCACAGCAGGTGGGGCACGCCCAGCACCAAGGATTCATGTTTAATCAACTTGGGGAGGGGTTTTGCCTAGCAGAAGGTGCCGCACAGCAGATGGGGCACGTCTAGCACGAAGGATTGATAATCAACTTGGGGAGGGGTCTTGCCTAGCAGGAGGTGCCACGCAGCAAAGGGGCACACCTAGCACCAAGGAGTCTTTGTTAATCGACTTGGGGAGGGGTCTTGCTTGAAGGTGCCGCACAGCAGATGGGGCACGCCTAGCACCAAGGATTCAGGTTGAATCAACTTGGGGCAGGCTGTTGCCTATCAGAAGGTGCGGCACAGCAAATGGGCGCATCTATCACCAAGGATTCGTTTCTTATCAACTTGGGGAGGGGTCTTGCCTAGCAGAAGGTGCCGCACAGCAGATGGGGCACATCTAGCACCAATGATTCTTGGTTAATCAACTTAGGGAGGGGTCTTGCATAACAGAGGGCGCCGCGCAGCAGATGGGCACGTTTAGCCCAAGGATTCTGTTTTAATCACTTTGGGGATGGGTCTTGCCTAGCAGAAGGTGCCGCACAGCAGATGGGACACGCCTAGCACCAAGGATTCTGCGTTTTAATCAACTTGGGGAAGGGTCTTGCCTATCAGAGGGTGCCGCACAACAGATGGGGCACGCCTAGCACCAAGGAGTCTTGTTTAATCAACTTGTGGGGGGGGCTCTGGCCTATCAGAGGGTGCCGCGCAGCAGGTGGGACACGTCTAACACCAAGGATTTTTTTTTTACAACTTGGAGAGGGGTATTGCCTAGCAGAAGGTGCCGCACAGCAGATGGGGCACGTCTAGCACCAAGGGTTCTGGTTTAATCACATTGGGGAGGGGTCTTGCCTAGCAGAAGGTGCCGCACAGCAGGTGGGGCACACCTAGCACCAAGGAGTCTTTGTTAATCAACTTGGGGAGGGCCCTTGCCTATCAGAGGGTGCCGCACAGCAGGTGAGGCACATCTAGCACCAGGGATACTGCTTTACTTAACTTGAGGAGGGGTCTTGCCTAGCAGAAGCTGCCGCACAGCAAAGTGGCTCACCTTGGAGAGGATGCTGCACAGCAAAGGGGCACATCTAGCACCAAGGA